AAAAAAAAAAAAAAAAAAAAAAAAAAGAAAACAGAAATTGTCTGTAATGATCGTGTGTGTTTGTCACATAAATAATATATGTATAAAAATAACAACAAATCGCGTGGCTTTTGTCGAAAGTCGAAGAAGTTGTATGCCTATCTCACATAAGTAATCGTTTTCAGATTCTAATACACGCGGACCTTCAGCCCTTCGCTCATTTTGCAACGCTATTTACAGATGATATCTTATTTTTCATAAAAAATATCAATGCAGCTTTGTGCGCGTAATCGCTCGAAGCGACACATAATCACCTTTCCGGGTGTACGCATTTTTACTTCAAGACGTCGTTCATCCGACCTGCATTTAACATTTAATTCATCGTCACAAACGGAGACTCTATACAGACGACTAACTTATCGCGAATGCATCCCTCAGATGCGGTGGTAGGAAGCTATTCGACATACGTTCGCATTAGAAATAGATTAAATTCGCTTCATCAACGCGCTACCGATTCGAGTGATTCAACTCGGTTCGTAACTTCTCCGCGCTACTTAGTGATATAAGTTGATTGATGTTATACTATATAATAAGATCACATTAAATCGCAAAATATAATTGTATGATCGATCGACTTTTGTTTCGCACTGCCTGTCTTCTTGCCAGTGTCCGAATACGATATAACAAACGAAGAACCGAGATTTCGAATTCGTCGACTTACATAATCTGCTGTACGGCGAGAAATACCCTATTTCAATCACCTACGTCAATTCCAAAATTTCGAATCGCGTCGGATTTGAATCCGTATCGATAACGGCAACATACGCCTGCTGTGTCGCATGAACATTCGGTGCACCTTCGTCATCGAGAAATTCATGACAGAGGTAGAGAGAGAGAAAGCGAGGGGAACAAACGGCGAGCAGTCTCATCCCATTCGCGGATGTTGTTGAGTCTGGTGTTGCTGTTGCTGCGCAGAGTAATTTCTGTCGGTGTGCTCTCTCTGGTCTCTCTGCCATTCGCGGACCTGCGCTACTTCCTTTCTCTGCTGCTCGTTTTTGTTGTGCTGTCGGTGGTAGATGCTCTTGTGGTTGCGCAGACTGTTTAGACTGGAGTAAACCCGCTTGCAGATGTTACAGATCGGTTCCTTGCTGGGCCTGGTGTGCACGTTCTGTATGTGCCGCTTCAACCGCGTTAGGGAGGTCAGGTTTTTGTTGCACGGCTCGCATCGAAACTCATCGCTCGCGCCGCTGCC